GTTTCGCTCCTTATAATTAAAACAAGTCAAAAGACTATAGTTGGCCACAAGCCATCATCAAATACCCTACGGTACTTCGCTTAACACAGTTGTTCATATAATGCCTTTTCAAGATAAGGGAAGTATGGAAGGTGGCCGACAAAGTGGCCCGGTCGGAACTATTTTCAATAATGTTCGTCTTTGAACCACAAGACATCGGTGTTGCGGCCTGTTCATTGAACTCGAGAGACGAGACAGGGAGACAAGTGGACGTACATATGGACAGATTGACACAGGCAAGCTTAGAATCACTTTCTGAGTTAGTTGGTATAATAAAAATTAGGTCTATCCGAGGTTCTTATGGGTGTTACATACATTCGCACAACAATAGATATGGTGTAGAATACACTAATCCTTTCCTGATAGAATATTTCTTTTATGCATAAAAATGTTTCACGAAACTTTATTAGTTTACCGCATTCGTATTCGTTTACCAACAATCTATATATTACCGCTATGTAATTAATATTTGAATAGAAAAAACGTAATTAACATTTGCATAGAGTTACGTGGCAATTCCCAGAAGCATACGACTTAACGAAGATAAACATAATAATTTCTATTCATAAATAACTTTTATTTCTCACCGTACTCCCACTGCACGGCAATGTTCAAATGTTTCAAGAGGAGAACGGTCGAGATTATTAAAATACCCTTCAATCAAATGCTTCTTCACTTTATTGTGACCAAAACCTGTACCATGGAGCCATTTTTTTCAAGTTTGGAGAAATAATCCTAGGGATCAAATCTGACGAATAAGGTGCGCGAGAAAGCAATTTGAATTTTGTAACTGTTCACTTAGGGCCTTCTCAACAACGAATACGTGAAGTGTTGATAAAAAAAATATATTTTTTTCTTTCTTTAATTGTTTTAAGATAATTAGGGAAATGGAATCGCTCTCGCTTTTATTAGGGCCCATCTTCCCCTTTCTGTACCTTGTTTTCTCTGTTCCCTCATCACAGTTGTGAACTACTTGATATGATGTTAATTGTTGTGAAACATCCTGGCAACGATGCCATAATGAACAAAGGCGGAATCCATTCTAAGCACAGATTTTTTAAGGCCAAAGTTTTAATCAATATGTGATGTGCAACACTTCTTGAAAAAGCTGCCACATCTGCTAGCTCGCGTACTTTCATTCGATGATCGGCCTTTTATCCTTTTGCGGATTTTATTCGCCATTTCTGGCTTTCTTCTATCAAATATTTTGTTATTGCAAACGGAAGGTATCGCGTAGCCGGATAGTTAAGAAACGTGGCTGTTGAGTCGACGTACACAGGCACAATTCTCATTGCGGTAAACCCTACCTTAATTGCGATTGGCTTGTGATGGTAGCTACAGCCACACGGAAAATCGAATATACATCTTCCACGCTTCGTTTACTCCTTATTTCTCTCTTCCCACGTTTTTCTATTCATCATTGCGCTACATGCACCGGGAACATTCCCTGAACGATTGATTACATGAATAAAAGAAACAAAACACACTTACAAAGAATAGCGTCTGGCCGGAATTATATAATGGTTAGACTAAGATATTCTAAATAAAGGTATTGTGTTACATAAAAATGGCCAATTTTTGCAAGTTTACCTGTTCACTGTGGGTGTTTATAGTTGATTACGGTCAAGCAAATGCTACGATAACAAGGTGAAGGCCTTCGAATTTCGACCTATTTACGAACTTTAGACTGATAGGGTTTTCCTTTTTAAAGAGCTTATATAAAATTGAAACTTCATTACTTAAAGCTTTAACACTTTTTCTACTCTGCACTGCTTGTTGTGCAAGGATATATTAAGTTTCTGCGAAAAGGGGGCTTCGATTCATGATGACTTTCTGGATCGATCTAAGCTATAGATCGCCATTTTTGAGATATTTTAACTAAGTGTGTTACACTGACATGCTTTAACTATTAAAAACGCTTTGGATCGGACCACTTCGTATATAGTATCATATTTGAAAAGGTCGTTATACAAACACCTGTATTAAGCAAAGTGGTGTAGAGTATTTAATAGTGGGCCGTTCCTCACTATGGCATTTTCACTTGTTTTTATACTAAAGATGTTACCTTCTTGATCAATTTTCCTACAGATCTCCATATATTTATTAAACAGTAAATGTTTAATCGAACACTTAATGTTTATACCCAAATATAAACACCAGTATTGGCGTTTCATATCATATATGCTTTTACATTCCGATCTATTTCATCTGACAATGAACATATGCCTGCAGGTAAATTTATAATACGATATACGCATACATACACCTGCACACTTATATATTATAACTTTATGTGTGAAATCTCGCTAACATCTCTTCACCTTTCGCCCGCCTGTCGATACGATACGATTGAATGATTTTGTGCATACACTGAGCATAGTTGTTGATTGGCGTATGTTTGGAGATAGAACAAGGGCATCTGAGAGTGGCGATTGTCTATATGGCGGGCGTTGTTTCTGGTTCATTGGCCACGTTATACTTACTTCCACAGCTTTCGTTAATGGGTGCTTCGGCCGGTGTCTATGGTATGTTGATGAGCCACTTACCACATTTAATAAAGGTCAGTCAGTTACTAACGAAACACTTACATAAGGAATTTTGATTTGAATTTTTTTTTTACTTTTTTTTCCCCTTCTTTTTCGCAGAATTTTCATTACTTAACTTACCGTTACTTACGACTAACATGTATGGTAATTTTATTCCTCAGTGATGTATGTTTTACGACATACCACGCCATCGCGAATGGAAATATGAATCCACGGATATGTGTTGAAGCTCACATTGCTGGTGCAATTAACGGTTTTATTAGTGGTTTTCTAGTCTACGCAACAAGTGAAAGACAGTCTATGTCGAGCACATGCACATAGCGTTTATTTAAAATAAACATTAAACATATGCAAGTATATGCTTTTTTGTCCAAGTGCCTATAAAAGTAAAATCGATTACTTACACATTTAGCATTGTCTATAAACAAAATGTTTGGTACATAAATAGCCATTTAACATAATTTGTTGTATTTATAGTGTAAACGTATTTATTTATAGTTAATTAAATGTTAAAAAATTATAGTCTTTTATTGTTTAGGTTTATAATTAGTAATTCATTTTATTATTTTCCTATGCATTACCATTTATTACATATATTACGTTAGCCTACGGTTGTGTTGTTAAGAAAAAGTCAATAAATATTAATAAAAGTTATTTCAAATTTGCATTCAAACGTATATATATATATATATATATATATATATGATATACTATATGTGATTAGCTATCATATAAGTAATTATTCATTTATGTCCACAAATCATTAAGAGAGAAATTTTATAAATGTATTCTACAATACCAAATGCCAGCTTTGTCCCACCACTTAAATTGACCCTTCCGGGGAATTTTTTTAGATGCCTCTAAAATTCAGTTTTTGCCGAAATAACTTCATTTACAAAATTGCACTTATTTATACTCCACAAAAACTTTAAGTTCCGAAAGCAAATAAAACTAATTTACACCTCTTTCCGGAAGAGTGCAACTTCGTTCCTTACCCAACCCGTTTCCGTTACTGAGATAAGTACATTTTTATCAAAATTGTAGATAAATAAATAAAGAGCATAATTAAGCGAAATAAAGAGGAAAAGAGAGTGATTTCACTCTGTAATAGAATTTTATCTTCAACTAACAGAAATTTGGATCTATCTCCACTAAGAGCATAATGAGCCATTCACTAAGCATTGAATCAAAAATGCCAGAAAGTTTGCGTCTTTAAGCGTTAAGGCGAGCTGATGTTTTTGAGAAATTTTTTAGTAAGAATGGTGACGGAGAAGAACTAAAAACATTATAGTGGGCCACGGCCCAAAATTAAATGCCGTGCACCACCCTATAGTTATTCATAGAATGGTTTTTCAAAATAAGGTGTTTTATGGGAAATGGTCGATAAATTAGTACGATCCAACAGCAGTCGTTCTTGTGCCAAAATGCATCGACCTGCTAAAGTTCATCCCAGCACTTGTAGGTTGAACACAAAAATGCAAGACGCACAGATGGACTGATAGATCTCAACTCCGTCTTCGTATTGTATATACTCTCTTTTGGGGAGATGAACTATGCTTTGATGGGAAGCATAGATGTGCCGAAACTCTCACCTCCCACCGGTGATCCCCGGGCAACGGCTTCGGCCGGTTAAGAAGAGTTTAAGGTTTTGGGCTACTAACTCGGCGACGAGTTTCTGAGAGATGCTGGAGGGGTTGGCTGGAAGAAGAGCTATTACTCAATAAGCTAGTTACTAGCGAGGAAATATATTGAATGGTATTTAAGTACGATGAAGGTAGTAATCTACCGAGTGCATGGTAGAGTGCATTAGATTAGTCTGCCATGTTCAGTGCAATACCCGAGACCTATATATCTTGAAGAAAAGTAGTTCATTGGTGCTGGCAACCAGGAATGTATGGAGAATCCGAAGCAAGTACGGTTGTTTTTAACAACCGCCCAAAGTATGCCAAAAGGCTTTGCAAAACAAACTGGGAGCCACGGGGGTCAGGAAGCTCGCCTCACAAAGCCACGTATGCCTGCGGGTATATGATGGACTTTGTCCTTAAGTCTTAATAAATAAATAAATTAATTATACTATTAATGCAAAAAGGAATTGACGGACGGCCTTCCCTTTGGCCGATTGATAGAAGATGTCTGGTAAATTAATTAATACATGCAAAAATGGAAAAGGGATATGACGAATAAGTTTTCCCCTTTTACATATTTTTTACTTTCGAACACATGTCACGGATGCCTGTGGGTAATGGTGGTAATTGATCAACAGCACAGTGGAAGCCTTATGGCGGAAGCAGTCAGTTGATCAATTTGTGAGTCCTGACTGCTTGGGTGCGGCCCTTCGGGGAGTACTCGTGGTGGTTGTGGTTGGCGAGTTCCTAGCTAAAATGGAACAATTGAGTGCAGCTAGGCCTCGCCATTGACCAAAGTGGGGTTTATTGTTCCATACACAACAAACTGTTCTGGACTCTGGTGCTGTTTAGGCCCCTACTCTGTGGGGATTGTCTAACTCGCCAGGGGGCGTAGTACGCTTAAAAGTGGCTTGGGCCACCGTGGGGTTAAGCCTTTCAGGCAGGAACCCACGTTAAACCCTTGCCACAAATTTCTGTATATACATTCGCATAAACTTCATATATCCTTGTATTGCAAGTGGTGTAGGGTATAAAAATGTTTACCCCAACTTATCGAAAATATTATCCGTGTTTCACTAGAGAATGTTATTTCAAAATATTGCAAAAAAATCGAATACCGGCTATAAACTGGGTATGTTAAGAAAAAACTAATCTACAATATAGTGGCGACCGTCTTATTTAGTTTGTGACGTTCATAATTAATAAGTTTTTAGACAGACAGTATATCTTCAGGTAAAGAATGTGCGAAATAATTTTCAACATTCTCTCGTGCTTACGTTATCAGTAACAAATGCATAACGTCAACGACATGCAGAGAAATGAAAATTTAATCGTGTATAACTTTGTACCATCGCGCAGATTGTCTTCCATATTTATATATAATTAGTAAGCCCCTCTATAGTGTAAATTTAGAAAAATTCAACTTTCTATCTTTCGTGGTAGATAAATAACGAGCAAAAATTCGCAATTTTTTGTTTAGAGAAAGAGAAGTGCATACAATTTACGCCTTATTGCACATGTAGTCTTTGACGAATTTAGTCCATTTTCAATGTCAACCTGCGTGAAAAATCTTCCACTGTTTCTACCAAATTCGAAGTCGATATCTTCATTTTTGCGACCAGGAGAGTGCCGATAATAAACACCGGACACACGTGGCTTAATCAATTCAGAATTTCGTCCTGATCAAGAATACATACACTTTCTAGGGTTTCTGAAGCTTCGTTTTGGGGACTACATACATTATGGAAAAAGAATGTGTGTACTCCCGTCCTTCAGCGAAGGGTATAAAAAGTATTTAGTGGCGTTAGTCCGTAAAAAAAGAAAAAAAATTTATTCTATGGACTTATTCCATGTGACTTACATGTCAGTTATATTATTAATTATCGCTAACCTGAAAAGCAAGGTTTCCACTTGAATAAACCAGGGCGGTTTAAATGGAAAAACTGTTCCAACTTTTTCATGGAGCTAGTAAGCACTCCCTTTTAAAAGATTGAAGTAATACGCTTAAGACGATCTTTAATTCCCCTATAGAAATACTCTTGATAGGAGTTTTCGAAGCCGTCTTGAGTTAAAATCTTCTTCTACAATCCCAACATGTGCGTCCCTTATTTTGAGTCTGACAAAGTCATGTTCGACAAATATTGTTATTGTCGAGAACATTAGATGCGCTATTGCACGAATGTGAACAATTTGGTTCATTCACAAGAAAAGAAGATGCGACGGGCCTTAGTGTCGAGAGACACCAATCAAAAGTGGCAAGGATTTCAATACTATTCCGTGACTGTTTTCAAGTGTCTACGTCGGGCTTACGTAACAATTTTCCTATTTTGTAATCGTGCTGATGTTCTATTACCCGCTCAAGACCAAAGTGGAAAAAGAGATATGGCCTGTTCCTGAACGCTTTATGTAGCTTTAGAAAACTTAAAAAAATTAGTATATAAAATATATTAAGAAAATATTTTAAGAAATCATTCATGTTTAAGATGTCTTAGGTGAAATCTTTGATATCCATGACAAATGTATTGAAAAAGTGATGTAAAATATCGGAGAACGTAATTATAAATATATGAAGGAAGACGTGAATGATGATACTAAAGAAAAAATACTTGAATCTATTTTGAATCTATTTTGAGAGTCTTGGAGTACTACAAAGTAG